CGTTTCGACAGTGGGCGGAAGGGGGGGGAGGGGAGGGGTCTGGCTCCGGACCTCTGTTTAATGCGACTGTTTGCAGCAGTGCGTCCTTTGGGGGAGGCTCCACCAGCTCGAAACAAGCGCCAAAAACAGCCAAGATCTACTTCACGGGGGGTGGAGGGGGGGGCAAGGGCCCGCGCCGATCGGCAACAGAAGAAATAAGAAAACGATCACAAAACTGGTCAGTTTCGGCCCGGGAGGAGTCTGGGAACCGATGCTGAACGGATTTGCCCTCGTCCGCCTTTCTTGACCAGTTTTCTCTGGGCCCATCCAGCGAAGACCCCCCTGGCCGCTTCCGGGTGCCAGATGGCATAATGTTCGGTGGCGTCTGGACGCATACAGTTAGGTCGGGCTTGTCCCTCTACAAGAGGGATATCCGGAAATAGTCAAAACATAGTCAGGGGACGATGTTTTTGCATTTTCGAATATTTTGGGCTACTTTTGGGGTACTTTTTATTTTTCGTCCAAAATCCGCCTGTAGGGGGACACGCACGACCTAAAGCGAGTCCCTTGTGGAGTATGCGTGACCATTCTCTCTTTCCGCCCACGTGGGCGTTCCTTTTCTCGCAGTCCAGCGCTGCGGTGTTGGCGCCAGTGGTACGGCAAGGTTTTCCCGTTGAGTGAATCGTCTAATTCGTGAAATCAGTTTGAAGCGCGTGGAGCTACAAGAACATGGCCAGCATAATACCACCCAATGTTGCAGACATGCTTGCAAGTTCTGTGTTTGAAGGCTTTGCTGACCCAGCTGAGGGAGGTGGAGAACATATGCAAGAAGTTATGTGCGTAGAGTTTTAGCGCCTTGACTATTCGGGTCATTCGACCGATTTGCGGTTGGGAGCGACTTTTGGGCAGCGATGGTCAATGGCGGATCAACCTGTCTTAGCCCCACTTCCATTGTGGTGTGCATCTCCACTGCAGTCGCTAGGAATGGTGATTCCAGGACTGCATGGGTTGCCCGCAGGACAGCCAATCAACTTCCTATCCGTTGCCACTTACACTCGTCTCGACTGGAGACCATTTTTTTATCCACCCAAGGGATAACACATGTTACCCCCCCTCCCCCCGTAACGGTAACGCCCGGACCCAGTCCAGTGCGCGATCCAGGGCAGCCTAGGCCTGTGGTGCACTCGGGCACTACTGGTGCCGCGGTGCACGCGGGCGTGCATGGTGTACGCAGGCACTGCGGTTTACACCGGCGTTGTGGCGCACACAACTGTCGTTTCAACAGCAGCTGTGGTGTACATAGGCATACTGGGTGTACGCAAGCATTGTGGTGTACACATCACAAGCCCTGTGGTGCACACAGGCGCCGTGATGTCCACAATCGCTGCATTGCGCAAAGTCGCTGTGATGTGCGCGTGCTTGTGGGCTATGTTGTACCCACGCATCGCGTACTTCTTCATCCTCCCTCTTCATTTTCGTCCTCCTCTTCGTCGTCCTCCTTGCGCAGACAGGACGCGGGCATTGTGGTGTACAAAAACATTGTGGTGCACACAGGCCTCGTGGTGCACACAGGCGTTGTGTTTCAAATTTGCTGTGGGCTCAAGTTGTCCGAGCGTTCCCCGGGCCAGAAAAAAATAATCACAATCTGCCCACATTTTGAACATGAACATTCGGGCCCCCAGCGATTTTCTGGACTTTGGCTCCGTCGGGGCCGTGGCTGTGTACACAAGCTTTGTGATAAACGCAGGCACACTGGTGCACACGGGGTGTGTGCTGCAACGGCAGCTGCGGTGTCAATTATCACAGGCATTGCTGTGTAAACGGCTGCGGTGGTGTACACAGACATTAAGGTGTTTACAGTCGTTCTCATGCAGCAGTGTGATGTACAAAGGAGCTGTGGTGCACACGGTTGTTCTGGTGTATACACAGGCCGTGGTGCACACACATACCATTTCTGTTGCATTTCTGGTGCACAAAGATATTGTGGTGTACAGAGCCCGTCTCGTGAGCACAGGCACTGGGCGTGGACAACGACGACGACGACGACGACGACGACGACGACGACGACGGCGACGGCGACGGCGACGGCGACGGCGACGGCGACGGCGACGGCGACGGCGACGACGGCGGCGACGACGACGACGACGATGTAGTCGGCGCGCCTCGGGGGGTGCGCGCCGCGGCCTCCGTTCCCGTTACCCCCCCGCGCCCCCCCCCCCAAACGGTAACATGTGTTATCCCCCAGGAATAATACACTTGTCTCCTGCTCTACGTTCGCGACGCAGTGGGCAATGTTTGAACCCCTTGCTGCAGGTTTCCAGCCCATCCCCCACTCAGCCAGCTGTACAGCAGGCTGGCTGGGGCAAGGACCCACTTCCAGCTGCCTCCTGCAGTGGGTGAGCGGCTTCGTCTCATTTCCGCGGACGGCTCGTGTGCACCGTGCCGCGCTGGCATCTCCCCAGGCGTCGTCGATCCTCGATCCAGTAATGGTGCGGTTCAGAGTCTCTCGGCCCGCACAGCCGAGAGACTATGCACCGTACCGCGTTCGGGCGGGGCCTTCAGCGAGTCCAAACATGGTACGGTGCATGGGTTATGATGTTCCAACTTATCTTGGCCTGAACCAGCAGGAAAAATCGAGGACCAAGAACGTGCCGCAACTTGAGGGTTTTCACGTGTCGGGCTTTGGGACGCGATTCTCGTTCGACACTGTTTTGACATGTTTCTGGGTGCTCGAAATTATATATGGGATTTGGTCCTCAAGTACGATGGGGGCAACATAATACATGGGCGCCGTGATCGTACAGTGGGGGCGCGCATCAAGAAACCAGATTATGCTTTTCGTCAGGGTGCCCTGGGTTTCCTCGCTCCGCACGCTGCGCGGGTGACCTCCCCGCGGCCGTTAGAGAAGATGCTGCGCTCAGGGGGCGCCAGGTTCTCTTATCCAGGTGCACCTCGCGCGCGGGTGTTCCGGCTTGGGTGTCTTGCGAGGGCTTCTTGTGGGCTCTTATGTCTCGTGCCCTCTGTGGGCCTGTTTAAACATCATTTTCTGACTGTTTTTTGCGTTCCTTCCAAAATCCGCCTGTGGGAGGACATGCCCGACCTAACCCTTCCCTGCTCCTCTCCCTCTCGTGTTCCACGAGCTTCTTGGCTGGCTCCACGGGTGGGCGGTTGGGTTTCTTGCGAGGGGTTGTTGGGGCCGCGCCCGCATTGCAGCGTTCGCGCCCCAGCGCCGGCGCCTCCTCCGCGCTGTGCGTCGGCGCCTTCCCCTGCGCCCCATTGCGGGTCTGTGACGGCGCGAGACGCTGCGCGCGCAAGCGGCGGGGCGCGCTGCTCTGGGGAAGTCCCCCCTTCGTTTGGGTACCCCTCCCCTCCCGTTCCCTTAATCGTTCACATCCCTCCACAGGCGAAATGTTCAAGAATAGTTTTCATTTCTAAAAAAATTTGGTGGCAATTCCTCGTGCACTCTGGACCATGTTTGATACTTTCCAGACCTTTTGTTTGTAAGTTCCTTCGGGAATCCGCCTGTAGAAGAACATGCCCGACCTACCCCTTCCTTCCTCCTGCCCCTCTTTGGCTGGCTCCACGAGTGGGCGCCTGGGTTTCGCGCGAGGGTTTCCTGTGGCCGCGCCCGCACTGCAGCATCAGCGCCTCCGCGCCAGCGCCTCCTCCCCGCGCCGAGCGGTCGGCGCCTTCCCCTGCGCCCTCGCGCGCCGTGGCGGCGCGAGATGCTGCGCGCGCAGTCGGCGGGGCTGGTGGCTCCTTCTCGAAGTGCCCCCTCCTTTGGTGTACCAATCCCCTCCCCCTTCCCGCCTCTTGCCCCTCTCTCATCCTCCGTGGAGATAAAACAGGTTTCGAAGAAGGGCAGAACGACATAAACATAAACTGTTGGCGCTCCTCGCGGATTTCTTGGATCCGCACTGGGCCTCCCCGGCGGTGCCTCCGGCGCCGCCCCTGGCGCGCTCCGCGCGCCAGGGAGGAGATCCAAATCCGCGCGGAGCGCCAAAAGTTTATGCTTATGATTTTTTCTCTTCTGGGGTCAGGAACATCCGGCAGGTTTGCAAGGGGCTCTCGCGTGAGCCCACACCATGTGCTAACCAACAATGGAAATTCGTCCGTTTGGAGCGTGGCCAGCTCCGAACGAAGAAGTACAATGTATGCTAAATCTCTTAGCAGGGCGCGTTCGGGCAACCAGGACGCGTTCCTCTATCGCTCGCTCTCTCATCCTTTGTGCCGTTGGCCTTCGAATTTGGGGCAATATCTCGAGTCTTTGGCCACAAATTTTATCCGGAGTAAGTATTTAAGCACTGCTCTTGACCGTCCAGGCGACTTCAGCACTCGAGGGTCGATGATCCTCAGGACGTGTGTCAGCCCAGTGTTTGTGTGTATGTGTATGTTTGTGTGTGGGGGGGTTAAGAAACCTCGTTCAGCCCCGCCGGAGGAACGCAGCCCATGTCGGCCCTCATTACACCGCCTGCGTCGTCTTGAAGGCTGCGGTGGACAAGCGCACGTTGTCGCTGACACACGTTCTGAGGAGCATTGGCAGGTGAGCGGCGCGTGAGCGGCGGAAGGAATCGGGGTTGACTGCGCCGACGTTCGCGCGTAAGGTGCCCGGGTAAGGTCGCGCGAAAGCGCCCTCGTGTGCATTTTAGCGTGCCGCGCTGGCGGCCGTCGCTAGCCACCGCGGAAGATTGCCATGTCATCGTGAGCAAGACCTATTCATCTCCGTCGCTCAGGTGGCAGTCCAGTCCAGCCTCTCATCCTCCCTTCTCTCGGTGGCGAGCGAGGGGGGCGCTGAAAGGTGCTCTGCGTCTCAGGGGAAGGCTTGGGGCTTGGGACGCTGGCCCGCCCCCCTGCTCGCTTTCCCCCAAGCTCGCCGCCGTTTCTCCTCCACGCCCCGAGTCGCTGAGTCGCTTGCGGATCACCTCTGGCGCCGCCCGAGCAGACGAGGCCCGGGTCGGGCACCCGTTCTGCCCACGCCCCGCTGGGCGAGGGTGATGGTCGAGGAATGGAGGCCGGGGGCGATGGTGGAGTCCCTGGCCCCTCGCCCTCACGATGGAGGCCGAGGGCGATGCAGGAACAGCTGCACAAGCGTCTGTGTATATATATATATATATGTGTATATATATATATATATATATATAGCCCTGTGCACCCACCAAGAACCCCCGTTTCTCATGATTATATATGAATTTATATATGATTCCCACGATTTTCGGACTCACTTTTGAGGCTCTTTTTTGGAAGACTTGTTGAGCTCCCTTCTACTCAACTCCCTCCGTCTCCAACACAACACCCATTACTCAACAGCCTCCTTCTCCAACACAACACCCGATACTCAACAGGCTCCCTCCCCAAGCTGAACTTGAAAATAACCTTCTACTCAACTCCCTCCGTCTCCAACACAACACCCAGTACTCAACAGCCTCCTTCTCCAACACAACACCCGATACTCAACAGGCTCCCTCCCCAAGCTGAACTTGAAAAGAACCTTCTACTCAACCCCCTCCGTCTCCAACACAACACCCAGTACTCAACAGCCTCCTTCTCCAACACAACACCCGATACTCAACAGGCTCCCTCCCCAAGCTGAACTTGAAAAGAACCTTCTACTCAACTCCCTCCGTCTCCAACACAACACCCAGTACTCAACAGCCTCCTTCTCCAACACAACACCCGATACTCAACAGGCTCCCTCCCCAAGCTGCACCAAGAACCCCCCTTTCTCATGATTATATATGAATTTATATATGATTCCTACGATTTTCGGACTCACTTTTGAGGCTCTTTTTTGGAAGACTTGTTGAGCTCCCTTCTACTCAACTCCCTCCGTCTCCAACACAACACCCATTACTCAACAGCCTCCTTCTCCAACACAACATCCGATACTGAACAGGCTCCCTCCCCAAGCTGAACTTGAAAAGAACCTTCTACTCAACTCCCTCCGTCTCCAACACAACACCCAGTACTCAACAGCCCCCTCTCCAACACAACACCCGATACTCAACAGGCTCCCTCCCCAAGCTGAACTTGAAAATAACCTTCTACTCAACTCCCTCCGTCTCCAACACAACACCCAGTACTCAACAGCCTCCTTCTCCAACACAACACCCGATACTCAACAGGCTCCCTCCGTGTCCAACACACACACATGTACTCCAGATCCCACCACCACAACACGACGCGACACCCGAAACTCCAACCGCACCCGCCCCCCTTTTTTTCTGGGCATCTTCCAAGAGAAAAGGGGGGTTCATGGTGGGTGCTGCGGCCTATATATATATATATAAATATATACACATGTATGCATCTGCATCTCCAGCTCACAAATGGAGGCTGAAGAAGGAACAGCCGCACAAATGTGTATATATACATATATGTAGTGTGCTGGCCTCCAGCCAGTGCCGCCGATCTGGGGCGCTGCGGATAATGATGATGATGATGATGATGATGATGATGATGATGATGATGATGATGATGATGATGATGATGATGATGATGCTGATGCTGATGATGATGATGGTGATGGTGATGGTGATGGTGATGGTGATGGTGATGGTGATGGTGATGATGGTGATGGTGATGATGGTGATGCATATAATATAGATCTATACATATACTCTCAGATCTATACATCTACTCTCAGCGCTCCGCGCGGATTTCTTGGATCTGCGCGGGAAGCCCCCAGCAGGGCCTGTCCAGCGCCGCCCCTGGCGCGCTCCGCGGCGCCAGGGAAAGGGGGGGGGTTCTGGCGCCGCGGCAAGGCCTCCGCGCGGAAAGCTGTGCAGATCTATGTTTATGCAGTTCTCTCGTCCGCCAGCCGAGGGCGAAGGATGGGGGGTGCTTGGATCACCGCGGGGGAGGGGGCTACATGGAGAGGGGGTGGTAAGTAGTTGCAAAGGCGGGCTTACGTCGAAGAATAATAACCGCATTAACAGAAACTGTTAGTGCTCCGCGCGGGTTTCTCGGATCGCGCTGGGCCCCCCCAGGCGGCGCCTCCGGCGCCGCACATGGCGCGGCCCGTGTGCCAGGGATGGGTTTTGAGCCCAGATCCACGAAATCCGCGCGGAGCCCCAAAAGTTTATGTTTATGCTGTTTTTTCTTCGTCTATACATGGAGATGGGGTGACAGGTAGTTGCGAAGGTGTGTGCGTGTGGGTTGCAAATGCCGTGAGTGGCTTAGGGCGGTCCGCTAACTCCGCTGAGGGAGCGAAGCCCACTGAGGTTGGATCTCTAACCCCCCAAGCCACTTTGGGCACTTCTCACCCACCTTTGTGCGAAAGTCGGGCAAGACACAGCCCACCTGAACGTCCACTGGCCGACGGTCCTCAGGACGTGTGTTAGCCCAATGTGTGCTTACCCCATTGAAGTCCACCGGCAGAGCGCGGCCTGTATCGGCCCTCATTGCGCCGTCTGCGTCGTACTGGCGGGTTTCGACGGACAAGCACACGTTGGCGCTAACACGCGTTCCGAAGACCATCGTCGACAGTCGTACCCTCCAGCTAGTCCAGATGAGGCTTCCGCACGAAGCCAAGCCTTCGACCGGCCCGCTGGGCTGGCGGGAGATGTTTCGCACGGGCTTGCACATGTGGATGTGACGTTTTGTGTTCGAGTGTTGGGATGAAGCAGTGGCGAAGTGTCCGGGCTCATCTACTGACCCACCAAAGAGTGCTCTAAGAACCTTTTGTGGTCTGCACTGAGTCGTGTTCTTAGAACAGTTCTGGCTGATGATGTCTTGTTTTCCACATCGGGCCTGTGTTCTAAGAACCTTGGTTTGGTGCCTCGAGCAGTTTGGGGTTCGGAGGGCATGTCGTGATAGGGGAATGCCGGGACGGTCGGACCCTGCTCAACTGGGCCAGCGACAGGGAGGGGAAGGGGAAGGGGGAAGGGGGTAAGGCAAGGGCGAGCTAGGGCGCCCCCGGGATGAGAGGGAGGGGGAGGGGAGGAGGAGGAGGAGGGCGAGGGGGATGGGGGACGGGGGAGGGGGAGGGGAGGGGGGAGGGGTTATGGAGGAGGAGGGGGTATGGGTTCGGGGGGATGGGGGTGGGGGAGGAGGATGGGCGAGGGGCGTGAGGGCGAGGGGGGAGGGGGAGGAGGAGGGGGCGGAGGGGGGACGCGGACGGGGGCGGGGAGGGGGAGGGGCAAGCTGGGTGCGCTCGCGTCATATCTGTCGTCCTGCCCCTCCCTCCCATCCCTTACCGCGGCGTAGATCTCCTCTCTATTCGCACAGTCTGATGTCGCAGCGTGGTATTGCATTACATGGCATAGCATGCTGTTGAAGATCAGCGCGTAGCATGACATAACATGGCTGGGCGACGCCCTAAAAGTGGGCCTTCCCGGCTAAAAATATCGAATCGGCACCGAATGTGTAATCACTTCTGATGGTTTCTTCGGGGGGCATTTTCTAGTCTTTGGAGCTAATTTTTGGAAGGACCGAAGGCCATGCCGTGGCATGGCACTGGAAATAATGAGGCCAGCGCTGCAGCGGGAACACGATTCGGAACGAGCGGAAGCGCGCAAATGAGGCCAACGGGGCAGCGGGAGCGCACTTCGGAACGAGCGGAAGCCCAAAACTGAGGCCAGCGTTGCAGCGGGAGCAACATGTAAAACAACAGCGAAAACCCCACTCCCGGGAATCCTGTGTGCGTGCGTGTGCGCGTGTGCGCGTGTGCGCGTGTGCGCGTGTGCGCGTGTGCGCGTGTGCGCGCGTGTGCGTGTGCGTGTGCGTGTGCGTGTGCGTGTGCGTGTGCGTGTGCGTGTGCGTGTGCGTGTGCGTGTGCGTGTGCGTGTGCGTTGTGCGTGTGCGTGTGCGCGTGCGTGTGCGTGTGCGCGTGCGCGTGCGTGTGCGCGTGCGTGTGCGTGTGCGTGTGCGTGTGCGTGTGCGTGTGCGTGTGCGTGTGCGTGTGCGTGTGCGTGTGCGTGTGCGTGTGCGTGTGTGTGTGTGTTTTGTTGTGTGTGGTTGCGTGCGTGCGTGCGTGACGTGCGTGCGTGCGGCGTGCGGTGCGTGCGTGCGTGCGTGTGTGGGTGTGTGTGTGTGTGTTTGTGTTGTGGTGTGTTGTGTGTGTGTGTGTGTGTGGTGTGTGTGGGGGGGGGTGATTGTACGCGCGTGTGTGTTGGGGTTTGGTGTGGTGTGTGTGTGTGTCTGAGCGCGTGCGCGCGTGCGTGGCGTGTGCGTGTGCTTGTGCGTGTGCGTGTGAGTGTAGCGTGAGCGTGTGCGGTGTGCGTGTGCGTGTGCGTGTTGCGTGTGCGTGGTGCGTGTGTGTGTGTGCGTGTGTGTGTGCGTGTGTGTTGTTGTGTGTGGTGCGTGCGTGTGTGTGGGTGTGTGCGTGTGTGTGTGTTGTGTGCGTGCGTGCTGTGTGTGTGTGTGTGTGCGTGCGTGCGTGTGTGTGTGTGTGGACGTGCGTGTGGCGTGCTGTGCGTGTTGGTGTGCGTGTGCTGTGCGTGTTGCGTGTGCGTGTGCGGTGGGCGTGTGCGTGTGCGCGTGCGTGTGCGTGTGGGGCGTGTGTGTGTGTGTGTGTGTGTGGACGTGCGTTTGGGCGTGGGTGTGTGTGTGTGTGTGTGTGTGTGTGTTTGTGTCCTGTGCGTGGTTTGCATTTGCGTGTGCGTTGCGTGTGCGTGTGCGTGTGCGTTATGCGGTGTGCGTGTGCGTGTGCTGCGTTGGCGTGTGCGTGTGCGTGCGTGTGTGTGTGTGTGTTGTGTGTGTGCGTGTGCGTGTGCTTATGCGTGTGCGTGTCCCGTGTTGTTGTGTTGTGTGCGTATGCGTGTTCGTGTGCGTGGCGTGTGGGCGTGAGCGTGTGCGTGTGCGTGCGTGTGCGTGTGCGTGTGTGTGTGTGTGCGTGTGTGTGTGTGTGCGTGTGCGTGTTTTTTTTTGTGTGTGTGTGTGTGTGTGCGTGTGCGTGTGCGTGCGTGTGTGTGTATGTGGAAAGCAGTACGTGGAGGGGGGCCGAAAGCAGAGAGCGGAGGGGGGCCTGACATCTTCCGGACGTCTTCGGGGGAGAGAGGAGAGTAGTATTCACATTGTGTAAATGTAGAGGGGCGCAGGCGAGGGCAGTGCAGCCTCGAGACGGAGAGGGCTGGCCGTCGCCCTCGACCCCGCGCGGGCCCTCGGCCTGCCGCGGAGAGCCAAGACGAAAAGCTAGGCACACAGTGGGGGCCCATGCCAAGAAGCGCCCTCCTCGCCTCCAGGAGGAATATTCAAAAATAGTCAACAAGTAATCCCTGGATGAATTGTTGATGTTTGATTATGTTTTGACTATGTTTTATTTGTCCTCCAAAATCCGCCTGTAGGAGGACAGCCTCACCTACGACTAACTATCGACTACAGTGGGGGCCCGTGCGAAGAAGCGCCCTGTTCGCCTCCAGGGTTCCCTGGGTTTCTTGGGTTTGGATGTTTCTTTGCTGTGGGAAGCGCGACCTTCTCACGCCAAGAATGGACGTCCTGGGGTCTCCGGGTTGGGTTTCCTGTGGAAGGTCTCTTGTGGACGGGCCCCTACTGTAGGCACAGGGGGGATGCATCGACCCCCAGTCGCCCATCGATTACCGCTTAGGGGCCCGATGCAGGCCTCGGAAAAGAATAGCGAACGCACATGCCGCATGCATCGGTCAACACCTCCCCCCCCCCCCAGTGTTCAAAGGTGGCGGTGGGTCTGCTTAGTTGCACTTCGACTGCAGTCTCCCCCGCGCGTGCCAGCTCTGAGTTTGGGGGCGCGGGGGAGTGTCCACAAATTGCTCCCCCTGCCGTGGGGCCCGATCGCCCCACCCCGCCCAGGAGCGCAGGGATCGGCGCTCTGGAGCCCATCGCCGATCTATTCGCGACGTATCGCCGACTCCGTGCCAATGTTCCCCTTCCCCCCCCCTGGGGCTGGTCCCCTGCTTGGTTTTCTGGGGGCAATGGCCCTGGCCTCCGGCGGCCGCTCGGGGCAGCCCCGGCACCCCTGGACGCCTCTCGGCGAGGCGCAGCCGCTGGAGGGCATCCCGAGGCTAGGAAGTCGCCCAGAACCAACCAGACGTCCGGAAAAACCTCAGACCTCGACCCCACCAGCATCCCGAGGCCAGGAGGCCGCCCAGAACCGACTGAGACGTCCAAGGCCTTCGGGCTTCGATCCCCCCGATCGTCACCCCCCTATCGGTCGTTGCCCCCTCCCTCCAGCTGCGGCCGGCGCCTGCAGTTCCGGCGCCGCCCGAGGCATGCCCGCGGTGCACGCGGCACGTCGAGGGGCGAGCCTGCGCGGCCCGGGCAGGGCGCCGCCGCTCTCTCGAGGAGAGGGAGACCACCAGGGGCAACAGGGTAGGGGGGACTAACCTTAGTGGGCCCTGGAAACAGCAGGGCCGTTTTTTTCACCGGTTCCGTTTTACCGTTTTCGTTGCCAGTTCCGACGTTGTTTTTTTACCGGTTCGGTCGCCGTTGTGTTACCGGTTCCAGCTCCAGTTTCAATCCCAGAGCCGTTTTTTTGCCGTCTTTGGTCGCCTTTTTCTGTCGTTTCTATATTCAAGAGACGCTTTTTCGGAAACGATGATAAAACGGCCCTGCAGTTTCCGAGGTCCATTATATAAGGGACTAACTATCGACTACAGTGGGGGCCCGTGCGAAGAAGCGCCCTGCTCACCTCCAGGGTGCCCAAGGTGTCTTTTCTTCTTGTGTTTCGATGGATGCTTTTGCTGTGGGAAGCGCGACCTTCTCACGCCTAGAATCTATGGACGTCCTGGGGCCTCAGGGTTGGGTTTCCTGTGGAAGGCCTCTTGTGGACGGGCCCCCCCCCGAAATGAGACCCCCCTCCCTTTTATTACGAAATCTGGAGCATTTTCTTGGCACTCTGGGAGGCGGGGGTGGCGAGGGGGGGGCGTGGGCCGCGTGCCTCTGCAGCTGTGCCAGGAGAGCCGCGTGCCGGCGGCGGCCCCGGAAGAGAGCTCGTGTTGCCGGGGGGGTCGGGGCCTCGGGGGGTGAGCGCTTGAGGGCCCTGCGGCGTCCACCGGGCACCACAGCCTGGGGACGGAAGTCGCGAGGGCTGCCACGCGGAGCGCCCCGAGATCCCCGCGGAGCGGGATCACCCGAAGGCCCCCCCCCCCAATCCCGAGGAATAGTCTCCCTTTTTTAGGTGGTGTTGCCCTGGGCCTGGCGGCACTCACAGGCCCCCAGGGCGAGTGGCTACGCCTCCTCCTGTTCCCTGCGGTGCGGGCGGTGCCTGGGCGCCGCAGGCAGAGGCTTGAAGCAGACGCCACCCTAGCGGAGGACGAGAGCACTCATCCCTCATGAGGCCGATGTCAAAAAATCCTCCTCCTCCTCCTCCTCAGTTTTTTTTCCGTGTGAATAACGCCCCCCGGTCGCACGTCGATCCGAGGCCATTCGGAAGGGCGTGACGAACGTTTCGCTTAAGACTTCCTCACCAAGTATGACCTGAAGCTTAGCCTTTGCAAGGGTTTCACGGATGGATAGCGGGTGGTTTTAAGATGTTGTTCTCGCTTTCGCGAGGACAGGCAATGTACAAAATTTGGCTCTCGCCTACGCCGCGCGCAAATCTGTACTAAAAGTTGCAAGAGCTTCACGGATGGAGGGCGGGCCGCTTTTTCGAGACGTGGGTCTCGCATCAGCGCCGTGCACAGTCGTCATACAAAATCGGAAGAGTTTCAAAGTTGGAGGGCGGCTCATTTTCAACATGTGGTTTTCGCTTCAGCGCCGCGCACGTGCGCTTGAAGCGTTTACAACAGTCTCAAGATATCCCAGGGTAATGTTCCAGGCATGGTGTTTTGGCAAGATGACGGGTTGTCAGTGCTGCAGCAGCAGTTCCGCTGAGTCGTGGTGCTGAATTCCGAGGAGCAGCGTTTGGCACGATTCAGGATCGACAAGACGCAACAGCAACGAACGGTGATTCGCGGAGTTGAATTCTCAGGATTTGCACTGCTCAAGATTTTTTAATTGTTGTTTCCCAACGGGGCATTGACTTCAGTGATAATGAATTCGTAAAGGGGCTCGTGAAGAGGGAGCTTGGATGCAGGTTTTAATTATGGCAACATCGTTGATGAGTCTTGGGTTTGCACTCGTCCTCCTCCGCCTCCTCCTCCCTTCCTCCTCCTCCTCCTCCTCCTCCAGAGCTCCGCCTCACCCCGCCTCCTCCTCCTCCTCCGCCTCCGCCGCCGCCTCCGCCTCCTACCTCCTCCGCCTCCGCCTCCTCCGCCCATTACTCCTCCTCCTCCACCTCCTCCTCCGCCTCCTCCTACTCCTCCTACTCCTCCTCTCCTCCTCCGCCGCCTCCTCCCCTGCCCCCTTCCTACTACAGGTGCGGGGCGCGGCGCGCACGCTCCTCCTTCCTCCTCCTCCTCCTCCTCCTCCTCCTCGTCCTCCTCCTCCTCCTCCTCCTCCCCCTCCTCCTCCCCCTTGTCACCCCCCCTTGCAGCGATGGCGACGCAGGCCGCCTTCCCCTGGGAACTACCGCGGCGCGGAAACGAGGGCCGCTCTGCCCTCCGGAGGCGCTCGGGCCCTCGGGCCGCTCCTTGCGTCCGTACACGTCGGGGGGGGGGCCTTTCCTGGCCGAAGTCCGCCGCAGCTGGAAAAGCCCGGTGCTCCTCATCAGGGCTGGACCTGAAGGCTGTTTTGCTGGACTTCGGCGGTGGTTTGCTTTTCGTTTTGGCAGGGAGGTATGGGAGAACAGGTAGAGCAAAACGAAACACAGCGGAACACAACGTTTGGGTCCAGCCCTGCTCCTCGTTCGCCATGGGGGGATAGGGTCCTGAGTTTTGTCGCCGCTCTCGGGCTCTCGGGGCCTTCCACCGGCCCCGGGGACCGTCGGAAAGCGACTCGGGATGAGATCTCGTGCTGCGGGGAAGGCTCCAGCGTCCAGGACCCGTTCCCCTCAGGACCCGCATCTCCCATGCTGATTCATCCGGTGCTCTACATGGTGGCTCGACGAATACATCGACCTACGCCCTCTTCTTCTCCCAGCTCGTAGGCACGTTCCCTTGCCATCTTCTTACACTGGTTCCTGACGTATCTCGTCCATGATTGTTCTTTGTACACGATACGAGCCCACGGCCTCACGAGCCCCCTGCCCCAAAGGGTACGGGTTCGGCACGCCTGCGTGCCCGACTCCGGCGCCTCCGCTCCGCTCCGCCTTGTGACAGCACGACGATGGCACCGTCACGGCACCGAAGGGCAGACAGAAGTCGGCGGCGAGCCCGTGGGGGAAGCGAGACCAGGCGGGCCTTCTCAGAAGGCTCAGAAGTCCCCCGGCCCTCTAAGAAGTCCCCTGAGCCTTCCCCAGGGGCACGGAAAACTTGCAAGAAGGCCAGAGGGCTCCTGAGAAGCCCCGCCGCCGTCTGAGAAGGCCTTCTCCTTCTCATTTCCCCCTCGCTCGGCGCTGAAGAAGGCAAGGAGCCCCTGCATCTCTCGGATGCCTGGAGGTTGACACCAACACCCATGTCGGCGGTGTGCCTCCACCGAAGGAGGAAGCTCCCGATCTTGATGGTGGAAATCTTACGTCGGGCATGTCCCTCTACAGAAGGAGTATTCGAAAATAGAAAAACAATAATCAATGAACGATCTTTCTACCATGCTTTAATTTTTTGGAATACGTTTTGAATGTTTGTTCCGCCGAAATCCGCCCGTAGGGGGACATGCCCGACCTAAGATTACCACCACCGACATTTGGGATCACCTTCCCTGGTGGAGGCGACCCACTGTGCTGGTGTTGGTTTATGATGTTCCAACCTACTTCGTGATCACCAGAACGGATTTCGAGCACCAAGGAAAGACCGAACTGATATTCGTTCGTTACTATATTGCTAGTGTTCTAGGTGCTTGAAATTAAGTATGGGATGTGGTCCTGAAATACGATGGGAGCCATATAAGTGTTGGTTTCTCTTTCTGAGCCTCCAAATCTCCACCGGTTGTCAGCCGCACCCGGGAGCGAGGCAGACGGCGCAGGGGAGGCGCGCGGCGCATGATCAGAAGCACATTCGGGGGGGGGGGGGGGTTGCCGTGGGACGAGGCGGCGGGCGGCCCTCGTCCCTGGCCTCGCTCGGGCGTGTGCACATGGTTCCTCGGCGAGGGCCATCGAGGAGCATCTTGGGTCATCTCCTCCTCCTTCTCCTCCGCCTCCTCCTCCTCCTATCTTTAATGACGTCCCATCCATCCTCCTCCTCCCCTTGCGAAACGAATATGAACGCTCGAAGTCGAAAGGTGCACGGGGAATTGACGTCCGACCGATGGCGAGCGTGGGAACAGCCGCGCGCGAGCGCTCCCGAACAAGCCGCTGGAGCAGAGCGAGCTTCAGGTGCATGTGAAGAGCGAAGCTCGGCGATGCGCAAAGGAAGCCGATCTCTCACAGCAGGAGATCACTTTTAAGTTGGGCATGTCCCTCTACAGCTACAGGAGGGAATATTCAAAATAGTAAAACAATAGTCTGGGCACTATTGTTTGACTATTTTTGATTATTTTGGAGTATTTTCTGAGGGGGACAGGCCCGACCTAAGATTACTGAGTGAGCCGCACACGAGCTCCCAATATGGATCCACGTGGATGGACGTTTGCCAGGGGCCTTACCGTCGACAGTTGCCCACTGGACAGCTTGTCTGTAAGGGGATCTGCGAATGGCTCGTAAGATGGGCAGGGGGGTCCGTGCCCGGTCCCGGACTCGGTGATTTGATGGCATCCTTCAGTCGGGCGTGTCCCTCTACAGGACGAGTGTTCAAACATAGTCAACACAGAGTCTGGGGACGATTGTTGGATTGCATCTGTTTGTTGGTATGGTTGGGCTTGTTGTTTACACATGTTTCCTCCGACATCCGCCTGTAGGGGGACATGCCCGACCTAATTGTATCCCCGATGTGCTCTTCCGTGGTCTCTCAGAAGGTCTCCCGTCTGGTCTCCCATCGTCTCCTCCACGGTCCCTCGCGTGTGGTCCCCCGTGTGGTCTCCCCATCTGGCCTCCCTTCTACCGTCGTCCGTGTGGGCTCCCCCCCCTACGGCCTCCCGTATGGGCACCCTTCTGGCGTCCTCTATTCCCCAATTTGTGCTTGCACCGAAGGCGTCCTAGCGGATATTGAAAGATTGAAAGATTGGGCGAAAGTTTCCCGCCGGTTTTGGTAGCCGGCTGGGTTCCCGGGTTCCCGGGTTCCTGGTCAAAGGTTCCGGGCCGATTTCGGTGGGTTCCAGGTTTATGGGTTCCCAGGTTTCCGGTCGATCGCTTGATCGATCTTTTTACCAGTCCTATTTCAAACCATCCACTGATTGGGGTGTTTCTCTGGTGAAATGGTTTCTGGTCTCCAGTATGGTCTCCCGTGTGGCTGCCTCTGTGGTTTTCTTACGGTCTTCTTCATGGCCCCTCGGTGGTTTCCCTCATGGTTCCCGCAGGGTCTCCCGTGCGCTCTTCCTGCATGGTGCCCCACATGATGTTAGGGGCATTGTGCTTCCAGGGTGTCATTTCGTTGATGCATTCCTGGGCCAGTCATCCGACCGGCTTTGCTGAGATTCACTCTACACAGATGGGCTGACGACGCGTTTCGGCGGAAGTTGGATCAACAATTATGACTCGTGTCAGTCTTGTTGCTCAAGCATTCTTGGCGCAAGACACCTGGGCTCAAGAGAATTTTGCTTCCTCATTTGCTGGATCCACTGAACCGAGCAGCCATGCCGCCTTCGCCCGAGCGCTGTTGCAGTGGCCAATGCCCGTATCTGAATCACTCAGCGGATGCAACGGGCAAAGCTACACCTGGTATCACTCAAGCGCTTGCAGCAAATTCGACACCATGCCAGCGACTCACTCTGTGCCTCGACCATTCGAGAACAGCCCAGACGGCCGTCACAAGTGGCACCTCTCGCTTCCAAGTCTTGGAATGATCTCATTGGGCTTGTTGGTGCCGTCTTAGGACCCTCTTGATTTCCTGTGGGGCAGTCTTGAGGGTCCCTTGAGGCTCTCTCAGGCCTTTGGAGGCCTTCTTGAGGTCTTCTTAGTTTGTAGTTGTTTGTTCGCTTGTGGTTCCCGTGGGTTTTGGAGGACCACAGGCGTTGCAATATTCAACCGAAGAGCGCAGAGAGCAACATCCATGTGAACACCAGACGACGATAATACAAACATGTTTTCGGTTTCGAGGCGGTATCTTGGAGCCTCTTGGAGGCTTATTGTTTGGATGCGACTCCTTGGAGGTCAAGTTCAGCATCGGCGCTGATATGTCCGGGGTCGAAAGCCAGCCTAGTCCGGTCCAGTCCCGCTCAATCTGGATTCATCTCGCTTGGTCTGGCTTAATCGGGCATAATCTTGGGCCTCACCCGCACTCATCTTGCTTCATGGCCTATCGGTCTTATGCAGTAGCTCCTTATCGTTTTTTTTTTGAAGACCTTCCAGAAATTGCCTCCTATCTCTTTGGACTTCTTGGTGGGCGTCTTTTTGGGCCATCCTGGCGGCCATCTTTAGGCCCTCTTGGGCGTCTCTTTTGGCCACCTTGGCGGCCATCTTTAGGCCATCCCCGCGGCCATCGTTAGGCCACCTTGGGCGTCTCTTGAGGCCACCTTGGCGGCCATTTTCATGCCGTCCTGGCGGCCCTCTTGACCTGCCTCTTTGGCGGCCTTCCTGGCGTGTCTCTTTGGGTTTCCTGCTGGGCCCTCTTGGCGGCCCTGGTGGCCGTCCTGGGCCCGCTGCCGAGGCCCTGGAGAGTCCGCGGGAGGCGTCTGCCGCGCGCGCAGCCTCGGGACAGGGCCGCCTGAACGCCACAACCCCCTCCTGCTGCTGCTCATGGGCCCTCCTCTGTCTCCTTCTCCTGCTTCTCCTCTTTAATTAAAATTTTATAATATTTAATAATAATAATATAAATAATAATATTAATGAATATAATAATAAATCATAATAAAGATACTTAAATAGAGAAGTAGTTTATCATTATAATATTAAATAATAATAAGAAGATTAATAATCAGAATAAATAATAATATTAATAGTAATAATAATAAATAAACTGAATACAGAAATTATATTTCTTCTACTAATAAGTATAAGAGTCATCATCCTCCTCACCTCCCTCCCCTCTCCTCCGTCACGCCCTCCTTATCATCATCCTCGCAATCCTCCTCCGCCTCCTCCTCCCGGTCCTCTTCCTGCTTTCCTCCTCTCCGCCCTCCTCATCCGCCTCCTCCCCTCCTCCTCCTCCTCCTCTACTCCTCCTACGAACTACCTTCTCCTCCTCCGCCTCCTCCTCCGCCGCCTCCTCCTCCCTCCTTCCCCCCTCCTCCGCCTCCTCCTCCCTCCTCCGCCTCCTCCTCCATCCTCCTCCTCCTCCGCCTCCTCCTCCTCCCCCTCCTCGCTTCCGCCGCGAGGCTGTGGGGCCCGCGCCCCGTTCCAAGCCTTGGCTGGTAGGCTGAAGTCGGGCCTGTCCCTCTACAGGGGGGAACCTTCGACTGTAGTAAAACATATCTGCCAGCGTTGACCCCAAGGAAACAGGAGGACAGGAGGAGGACGACATGAGGCTGGGAGGAGGCCGAAAGGAGGACGGGGGGAGGACGGGAGGAGCACAAGCAGGCAACCGCACGCAAGGAATCGGAAGCAAGCAAGCGCAAACGAGCCATGACAAGCAAGCACGAGCCAGTGATCATGTACAAACACGCAAGGACAAACAAGAGCGATCAAGCTAGAACACGCACGCAAGAGCAAGCAAGCAAGTGCAAGTGAGTGAGCGAGAGCAAGCAGGCAAGGGCAAGCAGGCAAACAAGCAAGTACAATCAAGCAATCAAGAGCAAGCAAGCATAGGAGTACATACGAGCCATCGGAATACATAAGACTCGCCATTGGAAATAGCTGGGGGGCCATTGGAAATACGGGGGGGGCACTGGAAAAAAGGGGGAGGCGAGTGCCATTGGAAATAAGGGGGTGTCATTGGAGAAAGGGGGGTCCTTAAGACCAATTACTTATGATGGGCTAGAAACCCTATAGGGCAAGCCGATTTGGAGAAACAAGGCAGTGGACGATTGTTCGAGTTTTCGCATGTCCCTAGCATTTTTGGAACAGGTGTCATTTATTATTCGTCCAAAATCCGCCTGTAGGGGGACACGCCCTACCTAATGGTAGGCGGGGCGTTTGGACTTGGACCGCCACCTCGGGGCTCGGTCCCTGAGTGGTGGCGCGATGGCTCGCCTTCTTTACTTCGCTTCCGCCGCCGTCTCGCCGCCTCTGCCCTCGCCCTTCCACCGCCGTCTCGCCGCCTCTGCCCTCGCCGCCGCCGTCTCCGCCGCGCCGAAGGCCCTCTGCTTGAAGCACCGCGGTAGCTTTGCAAAGGGATCGGGATATTAAAAGTGGATGCCACGGCGCGCCACGCGCGCCAGGCACCCCTGGGGCCCGAGCGTGCCAGGCACGCCTGGTCCGCCAGATGCGCCACGTGCCTCCGCGTGCGCCAGGTGTGCTGCCTTCTCTGGCCGCGCCAGGTGCGCCACGTTCGGGGCACGTGCAGAGTGTGTCAGGTGCACTTGCGCACGTGACAGCACGCATCGGGAAGCATGTCGAAAACCTATGCCCATCATTGTGTCTGGTGGGCCTGCGCACAGCAGGCCATACGCCCCCACCCCTGTCGTCCCTGTCAAACACATGGCAGTGATCGCGGGTTGGCCGCGCATGATCCAGATTTAGTCGCGAGGTGCATGCTGCATCATTTTCTAACCAGGGATGGTAGCCCTGCGCACAGCAGGCAATATGCTGACACCCCCGCCGCCCGTGTCAAAAACCATACAACAAGACACAGTTCTCGCGGGCCTCACGAACATGACTCCTGGCTCTGCCCCAAAGTGTACTTTGCATTGTTTTTGGACTGGGATGGTGGGGGGGGGCCGCATCGGGTTGTTTGCGCATGCTCCGAATATGGAGGTAGAGTGTGTGTTCGTATTGTCTTTTGACAAGGAAGGTTTGGGGGGGGTCCTCATTGGGTCCTCATCGTTCCTAGTTGACTGCCGGTCGCCTGGGCGAGGGGGTGTATCTTCACAGGGAACAGTGATAAATCTCCCCGAGCAGGAAATGGAGGGGTTGTAGCAAGAGAAGAGACAAGAATTCGTTAAACGACCCGTGCCCACAGGGCTGGTGGGATTTCGTGTTGGAAACAAAATGGTTTGTGTCACAGGAGGTCTGTTCTGGAGCTCCAAGCATTAATCAGTAATTGTGTCAGCACCGGGAGGTAGAAATTGCCATGTCCGACTGAGAAACGAATGGTCCTTCATCGACCGGAGGTACAGCGATTGAGAGAGAGAGGGGGAGAGAGTGGCAACAACTTACTGACGATCATGATCCTGACAGTGGTAGTTGCTCTGACTCCTTCTACTCTTCGATCCTGCGGCTGGACTCGCTTGTGAGATCGCTCACCGGCATGCAATAGAACTTGAGCGCGCGCGAGAAGCGCGCGATGGTTCTAGCACGTCTATCTATCCATAGAAGTTTCAAATGTATCCCAAGTGTCTGACCGTCGCCGTGCTAATTGGTTCCCCGTTCTGTGTATAATCGGGTTGGGACGGTATGGCGCTCGGTCGTTTGTGAGTTTCGAGGTCAGAGCTGTTGGGGCCAGCCAGGAAGCCCTTTTGGTGCCTCTTGGGATCCTATGGGGGCCTCTTTTCGGCCTCTCGGGAGCCTCTTGCGGCCTCTTAGGGGCCTGCTGGCGGGGGCCTCTTTGGGGCGGAGGGCTCGAAATCTCAATTTGGCTTTCCCCCTCTTGGACCCCTCTGGGTTCCCTCTGAGGGCCCTCTTGGGCCGTCTTGCGCGGTTCTTTGGCTGCCTAGGGGCCCTCTTGGGGCATCTCGGGGCCTCTTCGGAGCCTCTGGTGCCGTCTGGGGATGGTCTTGGAGGCAGCTTGGGGGTATGCTAAAGATGTATGTGTCCCGATAGGCAAAAAACATTGTTTGTCTCTTGGAGCTCTCTTGGGAGGGCTATGGGAGGCCTCTTGGGGCGTCTTGGAGGCCGCTTGGGCTGTCTGCAGTCCATCCGGAGCGTCTTAGATTGACCGCTCGGCGACTCGGGGCTTTCTTGGACCGTCTGAAGGCCCTGTTGGAGCTCTCTTGGCCCGTCGTGGTGCCCTCTCCGGGCGGCCTGGGGCCTTCTTGGGCCCTCCTGGGGCGCTCTGGACACAGCCGCCCCATAGGGCCGGAAATCAAGCCGGATCCATTTATTGAGTACGCAGGGGCTCGCTGTCTGGGGGCCGTCCCGTTTTTGTTCGGGGGTTGCTCGGGCGAGTTTGAGGGGGCGTGGGCTGCGTCTCTCGTCCCCCGCCCGCTGTCGCGGCTGCGATGTAGAGTCGAAAGCCCGCCGAGCCGAGCTGAGGAGGGGAGGAGAGGAGGAGGAGGAAGAGGAGGAGGAGGCGGAGGAGGCGGAGGAGGAGGGGTGGAGGAGGAGGAGGAGGGGGAGGAGGAGGGGAAGGAGGCGGAGGAGGTGGAGGAGGAGGAGGAGGCGGAGGAGGAGGAGGGGGAGGCCAGATTCGAGGCCGTGTCTCGCGGGCTGGTGTACAGTCCCTCAGCGCCAGCGACGCGCAGGCCCTCCTGCCAGCCGCTCGCTTCGCTCTGAGGAGGCAGGAGAGAGGAAGGATCGTGTGCGCTTTTTGGGGCATGTGCCGGGAGGAGGAGGGGGAGGAGGAGGAGGCGGAGGAGGAGAAAGAGCCGGAGGAGGAGGAGGAGGAGGAGGAGGAGGAGGAGGAGGAGGAGGACGCCTGGGTCTGCGCCGCGCCCCGCGGGCCAGGACGAGTACGCCGGGCCGTGCGGCGGGCCCGACGATGCCGAGGCCTGCTTGCCCGTGGTGCTGCTCTGCCGCGGCGTCGTCGCCGTCGTCGCACGTCGCCGACGTCGTCGTCGTCGTCGGCTTCGGCTTCGGTTTCGGCGTCGGCGTCGGCGTCGGCGTCGGCGTCGGCGTCGTCGTCGTCATTGTCGCCGTCGTCGCCGTCATCGTCGTCGTGGTCGTCGTCGTCCTCGGCGTCGTCGTCGTCGTCGGCGTCGTCGTCGCGGTCGTCGTCGTGCGGCGGTTCGCCAGCGGCGCCGAGGCGGACCTGCTCGTGGTGCTGCTGTGCCGCGTCGTGGGGGGGCGCGTCCACTACACGGACCAGGATCCGCGGCGATTTGTTCAGGGAGGGTCGCGGGGGGCAGGCGCAGGGCTCGTTTCGATTCCTCCGATTCGATTCGACTCGACTTCGGCGGCTTCCGATTCCGACTCCGATTCGATTCGACTTCGGTCCGAGTACGTCATGGAGGCATTCTCGTCCGCCGATTTCCGCCGATTCGACTTCTCCCAACTCGGCTGCCGAATCCCGCCGACCCGATTCATTTCGATCGCCCGATCGCCGATCCTCCGCCTTGTCGATTCGATTCTGGGTTCTCCTGCCCTCGCGTCGGGAAGACAGCGCAGCTCGGCGGCGAGCCCAGGAGGGAAGCGAGAAGCCCAGGCCCCCTCGCGTTGTGAACAAATCACGACGGGAGGTTTTTCGCCAGAAAACGACTCAGGATGAGAAGCCGGTCCCAGGGAATGGATCCAGACTTCCGGGTCATGAACAAATCATGACGTCGGGGGTCTTGGAGGGGCGGGCCTTCTCAGAAGGCTCGGAAGTCGCTTGGCCTTCTGAGACCTTTTCTGAGCTCTCCCCGAAGACGCAGAAAGCCTCTCAGCAGGCGCGAGGGCCTCTCGGAAGCCCCGCCGCCTTCTGAGAAGGCCTCCTCCTTCTCTCACGTCCCCCCCCTCGCTCGCCGTCGAACAGCGGGAGGTTTCTGGCCGGAGTGAGCCTCTGGAGGTTCTCTCCGGGGCTTGGGGCCGTCGAAAACCGCTCGGGATGAACGAGCGGCCCCGTGGAAGGGGTCGAGGCTTCGGGTGTCCGCGGTGGCACTGAAGTCATGGCGTCGGCGGTCCGGGGAGTCGAGCCCTCCCCTGCGCCTTCCCGTCGCGGACCTGTCGGGAGCTCTCGGACTCTCGTGGGCTCTTCAGAGTTTGTCTCGCCTCGGGATGCGCTTCCACAGCCGCGCCTCGCCGACCGAGGCGTCCCGAGCGGCCGCCAGAGATCCGAGGTCTGGCTCGAGTGCCGACGCGCCCGCATCGTGAGGCGAAACTGTCGCGACGAAAGGCCCTCCCCCTTGCTCTCTTCTTCTCCCTCCGTGGTAGTCCTCTGCCTGCCCGTCTGCCTACCCGTCATCGTCATCTTCCTCTGTTCCCGCGCCCTCTGGAGAACGTGTGTCTCCGCCTCTGCTCACCCGCTTCTCCTCCTGCCACTCCTCCTCCTCCCTCGTTGTCATGTCCTTCGTGCCCCTTCTCCTTGTCCTCGTCTTCCACATTTCCTAAGATGGCCCAATGAGGAGGAGGAGGAGGAGGAGGAGGAGGAGGAGGAGGAGGAGGAGGAGATGAACACCTTGGGAAGGGAAGGGAAATCAGAGGGGGGAAGGAAGGGAGGTTGGCAGGCAACGCATGGGTGAGGAGGGAGGCGCAGGGGGGAGGCCTGATGGGGGAGGGCGAGGGCGGACGAGAATGGAGAGGGTGAGGGGGGAGAGAGGGGGGGGGGCGAAGGCCGAGCAGGAGGCGACAGGGGCAGGAGGAGGTAGGAAACAGGCAGGATGCGGGGGAGAAGGCAGGCGGCGCTCCGCCGCCGCTCTGTGCAGCGGCCGGGGCTGTCGCGCCTCGTGCCCTCCCCCGCGGTCGCCTGCAGCGCCCCAGCGGGCAGCGCGCACGGGGTGCAGGGCGAATGCCCGGCCGCCGAGGACCCCCACTCCCAGTGATCGCGCTCCGCCAGCGCGAGGCCACTCCGCACGGCTCCCGCGGAGGCCTGGGGCCGCCCGCAGCACGCGCGGGGTGCTGCGTGCTCTGAGCGTGGCGCCGTCCTCTGTCCCGCTCCACGGCCGCTCTCCCTGCCGTTCCACTGCAGTCAACCCGCACAGCAAGGATGGGCAGTTTCCCCAAGGGTGCCCCTGCGTCCTCCTTGCCTCCTCGGTCCACCCTTGGCCGTCCTACCCCTGCATCCTCCCTTTCCGGTCCATCCTACTCCTGCATACTGCCTCCTCGAAAAGCTTCGACATGGACGTCCAAGGCGCTTGCATCCTTATCGCGCACGCCTATGATAAGGGTTTACTGCAGTTTCGGAGCGCAGGTAGCTCAGGTGCGCTCTGGCTGTTGCTGCTCGACACGTCGTGCCCTGCATCGCCGCTGACAGCACTCCTCCGAACATCTCGTGAGAAGCTCCCTCTCTCGCTCGTCTGCGTCCGATCCCGACCCCCGCGACGAGGACACTCCCGACCCGCACTTCCTGAGCAAGGCGGGCCGGCGGTGTCTCGCGGCGCGCGCCGATCTGGTGGTTTTCCATCGCAGGGGGGCCAGTCGCGACGACGGCAGCCCTCCATGACGCGCTCCACCCTCCATTTATTTATTCATTTATTTGTTTATTTATACATATACATATCCCTATTCTTTCGGGGGTGGACAGAACCCCCAACAGTGACACGTCGATTAGTGAATTGTCCGTTTTCGGTTCTCGAGAGGGCGCCGTGGCCGTTATTTTCCAGGCTTGCGCCCGCCAGGTTTGGGCCTTTGGTCGTTTTCACTAAACCACGTTTTACTAAAGGGGGTTCTGTCCATCCCCGATTCTTACCTTTGGATTACCCGGACCCCCCCCCCCACCCCCCTCCTAAACTGGACCCCCCCCCCCGGGACACCCCAGACGCCCTTGCCCTCCACCCAACGAACGCCCTGGACGCCCTTTCGGAGTCCCGGCGGCCTTCCAGGCAGTTGGACGCCACTGCCGATCGGAACCCACGGGCCCAAAACGGGCCCCAAGACGGCCCATCAGCGCTCAAGAGAACCAATATGGTTTCAAGACGGCCCACGAGGCCCCCATGACGGTCCAAGAGGCCCCAAAAGAGACCCCCAAGAGCCAAAACTCGTCCCAGTCCTTGTTGAAACGTACGTTTTTGAAGATATTAGCTTTTTCCGCTTTCGCAGCGTCCACGGCATCCCCAGAGATTCTCAAGATCGTCCCAGGACGGCCTCCGAGGCCTCTGTGAGCGACCCAAAACTACCCCAAAGAGCTCCAGGACGGATCAAGAGAAGCCCAAGGCGGCCCAAGAGGGGCCCTAGAGGGCCCCGAGAACTCCCAAGAGAGCCCCAAAAGAGACACAGGAGGCCCCAACAGTATCCCAACAGGGCCCCCGAAAAGCCCCTGGCCGGCCGGGCCTCCCAAAATGGCCAAAAGAGGGTTACGGGACGGCCTAAGAGGGCTCTAAGACGGCCCAGAACAGCCCCAAAGTGAGTCCTTTGGTCCGGAGAGTCACCACGAGCTCAAACGCGAGCCCACACCGTTCCAAGATAGTTTCCGGCAGTTCTCTTACACTCCACGATGCCGTAGTTCGCAGGACGGTGGTTCGAAAGGACCTCAGAAGCCCCACAAGCGTCCAGGACCCCTCCAGGCATTCAGGAAGTGACCAATCGTCGTCGCCGCCGTCGTCGTCGTCGTCGTCGTCGTCGTCGTCGTCGTCGTCGTCGTCCTACGGGGGAGCAGGAGTTGTCGGCCTGTCATCGCGGGCTGCCGCCTCATTATTGCGTAGCCCGCCTACTGACGCCCCGAGCGCTCGCTCCCGCGGCCTGCCCGAGAGGAGGAGCAGGAGGAAGCGGAGGAAGAGGAGGAGGAGCAGGAGGAGGAGGAACAGGAGGAAGAGGAAAAGGAGGAGGAGAAGCGGAGGAGGATGAGGAGGAGGATGAGGAAGAGGAGAAAGAGGAAGAGGAAGAGGAGGAGGAGTGGGATGAGGAGGAAGAGGAGCAAGATGAGGAGGAGGAGAAGGAGGAGGAGGACGACGACGAGGAAGGGCCAAGTTTCTGAGCGCTTTTGGTCCCATTGGGAGCTTCCAGAGGCCCTCGAGAGACGAGCGCCCCATCTGCAGTTCAGACGAGAGCCCCATCGTCGTCGTGGTCGTCGTTGTCGTCGGCGTCGTCGACGTCGTCGTCGTCGTGGTGGTGGTTGTTGTGGTGGTGGTGCTGGTGGCGGCGGTGGTCCTCGTGATCGTGGTCGTATTCGTAGTCGTCGTCGCCACCGCCGCCGTCGCCGTCGCCGACGTCGGAAACACGCGGTGACTTATTGCTTTTCCGAGAAGCGTCCGGAACAAGACTGCATTGGCGCGAAGCGCCAATGCAGTCTTGTCTTGTCTTGTCTCTCTGTCTCTGTCTCTCTCTCTCTCTCTCTCTCTCTCTCTCTCTCTATATATATATATTATATATAAACATATGTATATATGCACACACGGCGACGAAATCTATACATATTGTCACTGCTCCTGGCCAGGCCCATCAGGGGCCCAGGGGCGGTGTATATGCCCTCTTGGCTTGGCCAGGGCGGCGTATGCATTGCTACTGGGCTCAGGATGGGCCTGGCCAGAGGCAGTGGATGTGTGGAGATCTCGTCGCCCTACTCTGTGGGCCTCCCGGGGGCTTTTGTCTCGAAGCCGCAACCACTGCACAAACACAAACTCCGCAGACCCGCGTGGTTTGTGCGATGCAGGTCGATCTTGCTCTTCTTCTGTTTCTGGATCTTCGTTCCATTGTGATCGCCACGGCTGGATGCGCTTCGGCAAACGGGCCACGATGGACCCTTGGAGGGGTCCATGGACCGATCTTGCAAGGTCGTTGGCCGCCCAGGAGGGCCGCCGATGTCAGTGGCCTTCTTCCGAGTCCACGAGTGAGTCGGACTATCCCCCTTTCCGCTGTCAGGCGAAAAGCTCAACGCCCGAAGAGAGAGTCGCGATCGAATGCAGGTCCGAAGTTGCGACCGATAAAAGTATTCACCTTAGCGAGTAGGCGGGGTCGGAGGATCGCACCGCATCGCCGATGCATCGGCGTCGCGGCTCGATCTCCGCGCCGACGTTGCCGATGCATCGCCGACGTCGCCAGTGCATCCGCGATGCATCGGTGATTCGGAGCGACCCCCCGACCCCATTTGGGAGGCCTCTAGACACCACCATTGAGAATCGTCTTCGCTTCCAGCGGCGAGGATATGTCACGCTCGGCCTTCGGCCACGCTCGGGCATGTGTTCGGGGCATATATTCGGGCGTACTTTCGGTGACTGCCCCCCACCCGCCATGATGGGGAGGATGCTTCGCGATAGTTCTCTGAGTGTCTACCTGCAGGCTTACGTCGTGCTGCCGACCGTGAGTGACAGTGTCCTGAGTTGAGCCACGATCAGGGGTTCATAGTCCAAGCGGCATCGCCCCGGGGCCTGGGGCTCATTTTCGCGAGGATGGGGCGCTGGCGCCGTCTCTGGGTTGCGCAGAGACGCGCCGCATTGAGAACATCGGGGGGGGGGCCACGTCGGGCCACAGTCTTGGTTTGCGAGTTCTTTTTGTCAGAGCAGTCGAATCTAGCTGCGTGCTTCTGCATTGGCCGTGGCTGGGGTCGGGGAAGCCGAGAGGGATCAGGGGGAGGAAAGAACGTTGTGGTGCGAAGAACGAGGGGCAGTATGATTATTTGGCGTACGCCGCACAGCCGACCCCTTGGGGGAGAGTCGCTGTTGCGGCTTCTGGGCGCTGCGTGACTTATTCCCCATATCCTAAGATGGGGTTTTTGTTATTACTTGGACGGCGCCGACTCCAACCAGAACCATAACCCCTCCTGTCCTCCCTCCTCGTCCTTCTTCTCTTCCTCCTCAAACTTACTCATGCACAGGTTTACTCTTACTCAGACTCATGTATACTTAGACCTAGTCATATACTCAGACTTACTCATACTCAGACTTTCTCATGATCATATTCATATATACTCAGACCAAGTCATACTCATACTTACTCATACTCAGTCTCGCTATCCTAAGATGGGGTTCTTGTTGTTATTTGGACGCCCCCTACTCCTCCATCCTCTTCTCGCCCCCTCCTTCTCCCGTCTCCTCCTACTTGGACTCACTCATACTCAGACCTACACATGCACAGACTTACTCAGACACAGACTTTCTCATACACTGACTTTCTCATAGTCAGACTTACTCATACCCCGACGTACTCATACACATACTTACTAATATTCAGACCTACGCATACTTTGATCTTCTCTTAATGTGACTTACTTAACACACATCCGATTTGGAGGATGTCTCAGGCGGGGCGCTGCTTTCAGCACCCCGAAGGGGAGCCGCCAGGGGTATTAGCACGGGCCCGTTCGCGGCCATGTTGCGGGGATGTTTCAGGCGGTTTGCTTGTTTTCATGCTCAACATCTTCTGCTTTCAGAGCAGATAGTGAGGATGTCTCAGGCGGGGCGCTGGTTGCAGCACCCCTAAGGGGGGCCACCAGGGGTGTGTGCAGGGGCCCGTTCGCGGTCATTGTGTGGGGATGTCTCAGGTTTGTTTGCTTGTTTTCATGTTCAACACCTTCTGCGTTCAGAGCAGCTAGTGAGGATGTCTCAGGCGGGGCGTTGGTTTCAGCACCCGTAAGGGGCGCCGCCAGGGGTGTTTGCACGGGCCCGTTCGCGGTCATTTTGTGGGGATGTCTCAGGCGGCTTGCTTCTTTCATGTTCAACACCCTTGGTTTTATTATGAGGTATTGAGGATGTCTCAGGCGGTGCGCTGGTTTCAGCACCTCTACAGGGAGCCGCCAGGGGTGTTTTCACGGGCCCGTTCGCAGCCAGCTTGTGGGGATGTTTCAGGCGGTTTGCGTGTGTTCATGTTCAACCTCCTTCGCTTGGAGAGCAGATTCTGAGGATGTCTCAGGCGGGGGGCTGGTTCCAGCACCCCTAAGGGGAGCCGCCAGGGGTGTTTTCACGGGCCCGTTCGCGGCCAGTTTGTGAGGATGTCTCAAGGGGTTTGCTCGTTTTCATGCCCAACACTTTTGGTTTTCAGAACACATGTTGGAGATGTTTCAGGCAGGGCGCTGGTTTCAGCACCCCTAAAAGGAGCCGCCGGGGGTAGGGCACGGGCCCGTTCGCGGCCAATTGGTGGGGATGCTTCAGGCGGTTTGTGCGTTTTCATGCCCAGCATCTTGTCGCCCATGTGGACGCGCTGTCATAGTCAAACGCCCATGAGCAGACGCTCACTATGGCATGACATAAAACATGATATGCACATATGGGGAGCTCCACGCAGTGAGTAATGCTTGTATTTATCTAAGACGCCTACGGCGAATCACCGCCTCCCCCTGCCTTTTTGGAAGCTCCTATGTGGCCGAACGTTGAGGCCAGACCTGCCCAGCTATCGGACCATGTGTCCCCCGAATCGGTTTGGAAAGCCTTCGGGGAACACGTAGGCATCTTGAAGTTCATCTTGGCCGCCTGGAGGCCATGTTGA